GCTGCGGGTCTTGTCAATCCTGATGTGCTTTTCACCAAATCAAACCTCTAAAGCAGATAAATATTGCATCCACTTGACACCATGCCCTCCAGCAGGCGTTAGTTCTCCCTCCAAATGGAGCCAACATCAACATGTAGATGTGAGCTCCTCTCTGTCTCTCTCATTTTATTCCTCTCTCTTTTGTCTCTGCCTTTAGATTCATCTGTCTTTCCATCTGTCGCTCTCTCTTAACCTCCCTGTGTGTGTCTCTCTGACTGTCATCCCGTTTCGTTAGCATCAATCCTCCTCCGCGAGCTTTTGTCCAGCTCTTCTCTCTGTCACTCTCTGTTTCCCATTTCCTCCCTGCCTCCCCCTTTGGCCTCAGTGTGCGGTGATCCTGAATTACAGGGGGGTAGAGCAGGTGCGCTGCTGGCCGGCTACTGCTGCTGACTCGCATAAATGCTGAAAGGTGAGTAGTGAGCTGCTGGGGTTGAGGAATACAGCTGGCCTCTAATGCTGATGGACCTCCCTCAGGTCGAATGTTTGCCAAGGGCTCGGCCAGGTGCTCGGCAGCGTATGCAGGCGTGCACAGAATCTGACCAGATATCCGCAGCTACAAACGGATATGAAACACATGTGTGTGTCAAATGTAATAAGAATTCCCAGGTGCTACTCAGATTGTGGGCCGCAGAGAACAATGGAGGTTGTCATTTTGCCTGACTCAGAGAAGCTAAAAGCCAGGAAACTGGTTTCTCCAAATCATTTTCTGAACTCTGACCCATAGCATAATTATTGACACGCGTATGCAAGCCAAACCCTTTTCATCTTGGTCACTCATGTTTTCAAGAGCCTCTTTTCCAGTTTAACATGATGTCAATCTGTGTTCTCCCCCATGTCTTTCCGTCACCGCTTTCCCCAGCTTTTCTGAGCTTTGCCGAGCTTTGCCCCATGTTTCTAATTTCCCCTCCCCGTCTCCCTTTTTTGTGCAAACACGGTAGAACAACTCACTCCTTGCTCGCAAAGCCTGGTGAAAGCTGTGGGAAAAAATCCAATAAACATAAGCCGTGGCTCTCCCTTGACTCTCAGAGATGTTATTTAAGCACGACACGTGGTCGATTTTTCCATTCCACCTTGATGCCCTGACACCCTTCCTTTCTCCCCTCTTCTTCAATATGGATTTAAGATGTTTGTGCCTTTTTTACCTTACTTCCTGCTTTCCCTAAGTTGGTAGAAAGAGAAGGGTAAATAGGCAAAGGGTGTGTGAATAATGCAAGGCGAACATTAAATGTCAAGGCAAAACATTCAAAAAAATTCCCCATTGTCTCGCTGGCATCCGCACAATGTTTTATGCATTTTATAATTAGCGGGAAGTCTCAGAGGAGAGGGAGGCCTGGCAGTTCCTGGGTTCGCTTATTTCTGTTGGAAGTTACAGAACATCATTTGAAAGGCAAATCTCACAGCTCTCGTAGATGAGGAAAACCAATGCAGGAATTCTTGTCTGAATCAATATCACTTCCAACATGTGTTAGCTGCCTCGCATTTACAGTATAATCTATATTCATCAAAAGGAGGGAAGGAACATCCTACGAAAAGGGAACAGATTACACCGGGATTGAATGGTTTAGGTTTTTTAATATGATTGTTCAGAGAAAGAATAAACCAATGACAGTTGGGATAAGAAAAAAAAGTGAGATGGAGTGGAAAAAATGACATATCGGAGAGAGAAAGGAAATATAGGGTAGAGAAAGGCAAGGTCTTGTACAAAGGCGATACAGAGAAGAAATACCAAAGGATTCCGTATTGTTTCGGCACACACTGAAGGTCTTTGCTCTAAACAGTTACCACTCGCTCTCAATAGGTGCTTTCACACCAACTTTGCCGTACTTAGTTCCCAGTACTTAGTTCATCGGAACTCTTTAGTTCCCGGAACTAGAGCAGATCGCGTTCACACCGGAATAAGTCCTTGAGGGAGGATTAGGCAAATGAAGCTGCTGACGTCACTTCGTCTTCTTAAGATAAGATAAGATAGGATAGAGCTTTATTGTCTCCCTTAGGAGAAATTTGTCTTGGGCATCGAGATAATACGCATAAAACATTCAGGTCAATCAGTCATAGATACAGAACAGAGATCACATGGCAAAGAAACAAACAAGAAACATACAGGTACAGCACTTTCCCTATTGCATTCATACATAATCAAATATTGCACTTTCCCTATTGTATTTATACATAAATCAAATATTGCACTTTCCCCTATTGTATTCATACACAAATCAATATTGCACTTTCCCTATTGCACCTATGCATAGTGTCCGTCAAATTGCACATATCCCTATTGTGTCCATACCTATTTACACATAATGCACTTCCCCTATTTAACCTTCTCGATTGCACAAACTACACTGTAAACATTGCACTTCCCAACAACTCCTAACACAGCATAATCACAATTGTTTCTGACTGTTCAGCAGCTTGATTGACAGTGGAATAAAACGTATACCTGTTCAATTTACAGTTTGGTAATCTATACCTTCTGCCCTCGGGCAGCAACTCAAACTCTCTATACAGGATGTGTTTGGGGTCGCATGTGATTTTACGGCCTTGCTTTCTCACCATCTCCTCAAATATCATCTTCTTCTTCTTCTTCTTCTTCTTCTTCTTCTTCTTCTTCTTCTTCTTCTTCTTCTTCTTCTTCTTCTTCTTCTTCTTCTTCTTCTTCTTCTTCTTCTTCTTCTTCTTCTTCTTCTTCTTCTTCTTCTTCTTCTTCTTCTTCTTCTTCTTCTTCTTCTTCTTCTTCTTCAGAAGAAGAAGAAGAAGAAGAAGAAGAAGCTGCTGGGACTCCCAGCAGCTTCTGATCTCTAATGATTTCATGCTCCCTGAAGTCAAATTCCATCTGCAAAAAAAGTATGTTGTGCATGGATAGCACTATCAGACTGCAAACATATGTTTATGAGAAACCACGTCAAGAACTGAAGTTAAATTGGCTGGATTGCACCGCCCTCCAAAAAGAGCTGCAAAACAAGTATACATGAACAAATGTTGTTTATGTGTTTTTCATCACAGATTTATGGTTCCTTTTGCAATCTGCCAGTATTGAACAAAAGTAAAACTAATTATGACAACCAACGTGCAATAATTTTAAACAGCTAAATCCAATTATGCCGCATTTGAATCAAAACGAACTACCGTGAGCCTAAACTTCAACATAATATAGATACAAAATAAACAACAATTTCTTATTGCTCTTTTACACTACAAACAACAGACCAGAACAATTAGATATCCACTAGCACATTTGTAATCAGCAGCAGCTCTACCTTAGACAGTAGAAGGAAACATACCATTATACCATCCCATTCATCTTGTTCTCATCCTGCCCTTGGTTTCATAAATACATTCATTTGACAGATGACTTAGCTAATTGCCTTTTCAAAGTGCAGTAATCTCTCGGCGTAGCGAGAGCGAAAATTAAAAATGCAGTGCCCTGAGTATTGTTTTCAAGTCTGAGCCTGCATTTATCCACCTGAAATTAATTCTCTAATTTGTTTGGAAGATAAACAGGGAATACTTGAGATCCCAATCCACTTCGAGCATCCTATCCACTACTTTGCATATCCGTTCGGAAATGCTGATTTGTCCCTGATGACTCCGCCCAGAAATCCTTCTTCTCATTAACAGTAAAATGAGGAGCAAGCCTCGGCTCATCTGAAGGGCACTGTCAAAGTGTCACCTTGAAGAAAGTGTTAATACAGTGTGTGTTCCTCTGCATCAACTGAATACAAGACATAGGAAGTTTGGTGTTCAAATCTGACAGTTCACACTTGAGCTCCAGTGTGATTTGTGCTGATGTGTTGTTGTGTGTGCTGCTAACACTCCTGATCATATGGAGGCGGATGATGACATCCCTGTCCAAACACACCAAGCATCAAGAAAGTGAAAGCAGTCAGAGCTGTCACTGTGTTTCATATCCAACCCTTAGCCACAAATAATGTGATTGCTTATGGCATCATTTACAACCGCTATCTTCTCCGTCACATGGTCGATTCCCGAGAGGTATTGCGCAAATGATAAGGGATGTCACGATTCCAGAAATTAAGTAGTTCATACAAATACCAGTAAAAATCCATGATTCTCGTAACTTTTTCTTGATTTCATTTGACAAAACAGTGAATAAATGATCCCAGCAATGAGAAACAAACTGATATTATAAATGTCCCCTCTCTGGGATGAATAAAGGTATTCTGATTCTAAACTGCTGTCAGTCAACTGTTGACAGTCAACCTGGCAGAAATTATAAGAGACAGTATTTTGTGACAAGGAATTGTTGTTCATGTATTTGACTTGAGGTTTTACTTGTATTTTTAAGTTAATTTTAATCCTGTCATGTATTACAGTCTCAGCAATTTGGATTTAGGTCATACTTATTGTCTGGAGGTTGTGTAAAAGCATTGTGGGAAATGTAGGAGATAATTTACCTAATTAGTTTAGGAAGTGGATGCAGTATATTAAGTAAAATATCACACATACATCCACTGAATATCATATATTGATGACAGGATTAACCTGATTGGTTTAGGTGTATAACCACTATCACCAGACTGATGTTGTGTTGAGCCTGATTTGTATTGAGCCTGGTCTGATTTATGATCTGGTTGCCAGTCACACAAACATATTATGTGGCTAGGTGCACACGAAAGTCAGTGAAGTCCGGTCTGGATTTCGTCAAGATATGAAACACTTTAAACCTAAATAGGGCCATTAATCACACCAAACAACAAAAGTTATTTAACAATGCTTATGGCTTAACAATACCTTTAATGTGCACATTTAGAGCAGACATGATTCACACTTCTATGATTGTCGTAAACGCTATACTGTACAGTAAATAACACTTTGAGGGAAATGTGCTGCCTTCATAATTCACTATGTACGGATAGACACATCATGAACATCAAAACTGTGAATTGAAATGCTTCTTACAATGATTTTAAAGCCATATATTTCTGTCATGTTTTTTCCAGGCCAGTGGGAGGGGACTGTCTGAAGAAATGCCGGTCTCAGGTGCCCTAGTACATCACCACCTGGACCATGGCAACTCCTTGGCCGATGAGAAAAGAGAGGTGCTCCCATGGCTCCGCCTGCCTTGCTAGATGGTCGGCGTCCTCTTTGATGCTCCTATGGTTGCCCTGGGTGTTGCTATGGACGCCGTGGTCCACCCGAGCTGAACAAGTGGGTGGCGCGGTACACGGTGGGAAGGTGTCACACAGTTCCTTGTCATCATCCTCGTCCGCATCATCGTCCTCGTCCCCGTCCGGCTCCTCGGCGCTGGGCTTCAACACGAGGCAGAGCGGGGGGCAGCTGGACTGGCTGCTGTCGGAGAAGGGACCTTTCCACAGATGTCCAGAGTACACAGAGTTCAGAGAGAGGTTCCAGCAGGGATTTTCTACCAGATACAAGATTTACAGGTGAGCAGGGTCAGCACTCTGTGTGTGTGTGTGTGTGTGTGTGTGTGTGTGTGTGTGTGTGTGTGTGTGTGTGTGTGTGTGTGTGTGTGTATATGTTATACTTGTATCACACAGACATATTTATATAACTATAACATTTCAGTTAAAGGTCACCTACTGTATTATGCAAAATTCACTTTTTCATGTCTTTTACACATCAACATGTGTCCCCTCTGTGTAAAGAGATTCTGAACGTTTCAGGAAAAAAGATTCTCTAACTTTTTGTCCTGATCCATTTATAAACTGTCTGAAAATGAGCTGATCAGATTTTGTCCACTTTGTGATGTCATAACGATTTTGTGGCTTGTGTAACCATTAGCCAATCACCAACCAAGGTAATACCCCCCCACCTTATCACATGAATCTCCTCCTAGAGCACCATTGTGTTATTTTTATCCAAATGTCTCTCAGAGGGGCGTGGGGAGTGGCTCCTTATTTTCATCTAAAGTAAAAGACAGAGAATCAGCACTTTGGAAACAGGGCTGAAACAGAGGGGTTTATGGGATGCCTGGGTGATCTGTTTGGTATTTGGAGCCAAACACTTCAGAGACATGTTTGGTATATATCTGAGACCTATAATATATTGATGAGACACAGTATAATAGGGGACCTTTAAGTATGATTTTTTTTACAGAAATAAAGAACGTATTGGCAGTTAACTAACATTTGTTCAAAGAATGGCTAAGGCCAGCTCTACTGTTGTATTTAAATTGTTATTCATACAGTCACATATGTTGGTATACATTTAGTATCATAGTGATGCCTTGCATTTTATTCTGGACTTTGATTTGGGTTTTTTCTCTCATTCATGATCTATAACAGCATATTTATGATCAGAATCCATATTTGTCAAAAACATCAAGAACAAAGTTACCAAGCAAACATGACAGCACAAATATTGTAATATCGCTATCCGTATCACTGACAGAAATATGTGAAACATATAACCACGTCGAAGTCAAATGAAATGAAATAAAATGGATAGCAGTAATATCAAGATGATAAACAAGCACAGGAACAAACACTAGAGGTCAATATGAGGATATGTGTCTTTTCAGCTTTGCTTCTGCATAGAAATCTGTTTTTTTTCTCTGCATTTTTCAATAATGCACTAGAAATCCATCAAGCCCTGTCTGTGTAAGGAAGCGTGTAATGAAAAGATGTTTGACTTTAGCTCAATATATGCATTATTGTCAAACACAGCCCATCTATATTAACATTTACTGGATGGGTAGAAACTCATTTCAAGCAGCAGTGTTAGGATTGTTGTTATACTGCAGGAAGGGCAAAAAAAGATCTCCTTTCTTTTATTAAAGATGTTTTTGGGTTTCTAAGGGAGGAAGAAAATAATAAGTAGAACTTTGGTTTGGAGATTTTGCAAGCACTAGAAATGGGCAGTTGTTTGTAGATGTGTTTTAATTCAGGTCCTTGCTAGTTTTACAAAATAAAATGAGTTCAGAGTTGGACGCTTTAAAGAGTGCAGTCAAAAATCCAAAGGAATGTTATATGAACTTGTTAAATGAGATTAAAGGGTTAGGGTTAATAATTTTAGTGTAATCTGTGAATTAATAATAGAGGAGCATTGTTCATTTTAAGCGTCAGACCCAGAATAGAGATATGAAACTCAAATATGTTGTTTGATTTTGTTATATTTTTTTATTCCAACAGACGTTTGCTGATTCTATCTTTTCTGTGTTATGAGCTCAGAAGGGTCCGTTGAAATAGCTTTCCAGCTTGTGATATTAAACAATATATATTACATATTTATTAAAGTCAGAGAAAAGATAACTTTTCATTAATTAGCTGTTGTTATGCACCAGCTAATGGGGATCCTAATAAAATAAACAAATAAACAAATACATTCAGCTTCACGTATCTCAATGTAACGATTTGTCTGACAGCTCATAACTGGAAGCTCATAAATCAGACAAAACATCTTTTCATTTTTCAAACTTCACACAAATGTCAGCTTCTCTACAACTGCATCATTCAAAGGGTGGAACCCCAGTTGCGATGCTGTAACATATTTCAAATCTTGAAATATGAATGAATCATGAATGAAACCATGAATTAGGAAACACTTCAGTCCCGGTGTGAAACTCACATTTGCCAGACAGCTGAATTACAGCAGGTGTCCTTAGATATTCATTTGTTATATAGTTAGAGGAGGATAATTAGGAAGTATATGATTATTAAATTCAATTAAATGTTGTATAATAAATAATAATGCATTTATCTCATGCTTGGGCAAAGTTAAATATAACCCTGACAGTAATGCAAATGGATGGAAATTATAGTATGTCTTTATGTGAGATTAATTGCAACACTAATGATAATATATTATTAGTGATGATATTACTTATTATCATAAAACAGAGATTAACAAACAACTCCTTTGATTGTAATTACTGGACACACACACACACACACACACACACACACACCACACACACACACACCAACACACACACACACACACACACACACACACACACACACCACACACACACACACACACACACACACACCACACACACACACACACACACGCACACACACACACACGGTCAGCATTACGATGGGTATGCTTCTGTGCTTATGCAAGTCTCAGTTGGTTAAACATGCTCACTCCTGCTCACTGTGATCACATATACGTATTGTGCCAAACTGAATATTCAGTTACACATTTTGTTTTTGTTTCCAGAGTATAGGCATTTGATCTTTTGGTATTACACATGAATCTAGTGATCAACATATCCTTTTGCCATGTTTGTAATTGTAAATTCATCTGAAAAAAAGATATCTATTATTTAATTGTTGTACAAAAGGGTTTGATTCCTCCCTGTGTAATCCACTAGGCTTAAACATCCGCACTCCAGAGCTGATTTAAAAAAAGCTCAGTTTCCAACTAAGTGCAGATCAGGAAGCTGACATTGAAAGTACAGGAAGCATTTCCAAATGTGTCCTGCTGATCCTCCTGAGAGAATGTGTTTTAGTCTATAAAAGAAAAAGCAAACCTGGCCAGGCTTCTTTTTCAATTAATTACATATGTTTATGATCAATGACAGTAGAGATATGTTTGGCAAAATAACTAAAACTATTATAACTGTTAAGGTTTTCGATGAAATATCCTAAATGTCCACTAGCTGTTAGATGTGCGGTCTATACTGTACATAATGCAGTGCAGTCTTTCGCCAGGTCCAGAGTTCATGTCGGTCACCATTATCCAAATTGAATACCAAATGTGATATTAGCTGCATCCGCTGAGGCTGCAATATAAATGTCCATTGCCTTTACTTTAAATATATTTTAACGTTTACCGATATTTCACTTTCCTGCCTCCATGAGCTCTTTAAAAATGGATTATTCTGAAAGTTGTCATTTCTGTTTGTACTATCAGTACAAAATGTATACCTGCCAAGGATATGGTCTCTGACATGGCTGAGAAGATCTTGTATATTGGGGCTGAACATCAGACTGTACAAAATGTGGTACTGCACATTGGAACAAATGATGTTATGAAACAACAGTCAGAAGTGCTGAACAAAGACTTTAAATGTTTGTTGGAAACTGTCAGCTCTCTAAATGCAGAGGTGTTCATCAGTGGCTCTCTACCGCCAGTCAGAAGAGGAGTGGAGAGATTCAGCAGATTGTTTGCACTGAACACCTGGCTTTCAACTGCCTGTACTGACCATTCTGTCCATTTTATTGACAACTTTAACTTTTTCTGGGACCGCAGACATATTTTTAAGGCAAATGGAGTTTGCCTGAACAAGTCAGGAGTGAAATTGTTTATCTCTCTAACATATTCAACTGCCTGCATCATCAATCTGTTCCCTATGCCAAGGACAAGCAACAAGAGGAATCAAAACAAGAGAAAGACATAACACATCGCTCAGAAAACCTTAAGAATCTATCACTGCCTGAGGAATGTCTTGATTATGGAATGGAGGATTCTCCACCGCCCTTCACCCCCCCCTATCACCTCTGAGGATACTCTTCCTTCACCCCACAGCTCTCTCTACTCTCCGTTCACCCTTTCACCCTCGCCCACCCTCCTGGAGATCGCTGAACACATGAAGGAGATACAGAGGGTTGGCACCAATTCCTTCCTGGAGTTCAAAGACCAAACTAAGGCGATGCGCAGGATTGGCAGCATGTCCTTTACCCCCGCTCCTCAACAACGCCCATCAAAATCACCGAAGCACCACCTCCCCCAATTTCATCACCGTGCCTACGTCAACCACCTCCTCACCCTGGATGCGCACCAACACCCCCGTCACCATGCCTACCACAATCATCCGGACCAAAACGTCCTCCCCCCCTTCAAGACTGCTGTCTCCAAAGCCTGATAAGAATGTGTGAGTAAAAAACACAAACACTGACTGATATATGCTGGGTCCAGGCCCAAGGGCGTATGGCACTCTCAACTCTTTCCAGGGCATGCCGGGGCCCTGCCTGCCAGTAGCTTTGCCGATATCTGTGTTGATAGGTAATAGATTAAGAGCGATTAATCAGCTTAGACATAGGAAGTGCTCAAAAGTTTGTGTGAGTTTATCACATTTAGAAGTGATTCCATGTCAGCCACAGCTTGCCACAAAAAATCAGACTGATAGTGTATTCAACAAACTTAAACTTAAAACATTTGTAATCAATGATTTTATCACTGAGCACAATCTCGATTTTATGTTTTTAACGGAAACATGGATTGAACAAAAATAACAGTGCAGCTGTTCTTATCGAATCAACACCTCCCAGCTTCAGTTTTATAAGTCAGAAAATAATGCATAAGAAAGGAGGTGGAGTTGCTATTGTGTTCAATGATTCCCTTCAATGCAGGAAGACATCTTATGGGAACTTTGCTTCTTTTGAATATGTGGCCCTTCAGCTGAAATGCTCCTCTCAAGCTCTGTTCCTAAATATCTATAGACCACCCAAATACTGTGCAAGCTTTTTTGATG